CGGACGCTGAGCGGACGCTGAGCGGACGCTGAGCGGACGCTGAGCGGACGCTGAGCGGACGCTGAGCAGCCAGTGCAGCGGAGAGGGGTGGTACAGCGCCGGGTTAACGAGCATATGACAATGAATCCGGGGGCGGCTTTAAGCATATGTTTAATCTGCTGATGTATTAATACATCCACTGAGTTTCGATGAGTGGCTTTGTTTTTTGACAAGTTGAAGCTGGATAATTGTAGCGATCGTACAAGTTGTAATGTTAGTGGCCGAGTTACCTGAATGGCAGTTTGCGTTCATAAAGGGTGATGGGTGGTGGATGTAAAGTTTCTGGATGGGGCAATGTGAAGAACACAGCGAGAGACTGTGAGCGGACGGCGATGCAGGAAACTGAGTCGCTAGTTATTGTTTATCGAAGGATAAGTCAATTGGTGGGTACGGGGAGCGGCGGGTATGGATGTAAGAATGCAAGTAGTTTTCGTGTGCTGCCTGACACAATGAAAGGAAGGTGCGCAGGGCCGGCGCCGCTAGTTCTCACGGCAGGAAGCACTGCGGGGGTCGGTACCATTTGCAAGGCGTAAGAGAAGGTGCCTGCAGGTTTGGCGTCGAGGTCGCTCGATGCAGTGGACCGCGTCTGTTCCTGCCGTCACCGCCTTGCTCGCCTCCACTCTACGTTCACCGCCCTTCACCAATGGCCTTTGCGACGATTTCGGATCATTCCACGCTCGCGTAAGTGATTCACAGGACAAATCTCGCGATTCATCTCCGGGTGGACGTTGCAAAGAAACGCGAGAGAACAGACAGACAACAGAATTCGCTGAATTTTCAGTAATAGATTTGAATATGTATTATTTGGAATGGGAATTGACATGTTCGTTCTTGTCACAAAACAGGAAATAATTACTCTTCTACTGCGTTTTGTGTAAGTGTTAATATTCGATATCGTCAACGATTTTTAGAAGAAGAATGGTAAACTACAACGGTAAGTACGCACTACTAAACGCTTTTCAACCGTAAAGGTGACAACTAATAATCGTAGCTAAATAAATATTCTCTGATTCGGAAAGGCTAGTTTCATTAGGAATATTCATAGTTTCATCAATACCAACCAAAAGCATTAAGTAGTAAGTACATTAAAGTTTGCTTCAAGTTCTGTGGAAGCTGTGGTGCTACTATAACATAGCCACAAATGCAGACGCAACAAGAGATAGACGTATCATGTTTCAGCTTCTACAACTATCTAGTTTTGTTTTTTAACGATTATAGAAAACGTCAATGTTCACAAGAAATGTAACTTAAAATGATTCTTGAAACGAACAGTTGTAACAGTATTTGCAGGGCTTTTATAATCACTATCACAGAAAAACAAGAGTGTACACTTACAACGACAAGAGATCGAGTCCTGCGTAGTTGTTATATGAAGGCAGCGTTTGCTTGGCTGCGTTCCAAGCTCAACAGACTTCTTCGTTTGCATGCAAACATTAACTTATCCGGTCCGTTGGTCTTCCTGGGCGAATGCGCTAATCACATGCTTAGTGCAGTGTTTGGCCGCCTGCCCATTCCTCAACGAGAGGTCAAGCAGAAAGAAAGTGGGCGGTCAAGCGGAAATGGACAAGTAGGTGGAATTTGTTCGCGTGCGTTTGACGAAACAGTGATGATGGTTGCACGCACTTTGTCTACACACTACGTCTTCCTTGTATACGTAAATGCAACTTACAATTGATGTAATGTTGCCTAAAGAATACTCATCATTTCGAGTATACATTTTTACGACTTGTTAACAGCAAACAATTGTATATATTATGATTACATAAAGAGTTAGTATTATGACATCCAGTGGAGCCAAAAATATACGAGCGAAAGAGATTTCATTAGTTTGAGAAGCTGCGCTGAGAAAGTGTTTTCTTTGAGTTGCCGCTGAGTTAATAAAACGTTTCTACGGTTGTAAAAGCGTTTTGCCCCGGGCCCTCCATTTGCGGCGAGTCAGAAAGAAACCGCTCGAGCGCATCGTCCCACGGAATCCCTCGGAAAGTGGGAGTGTTTCCCACTTCTCCAAGAAGGGAGTTCTCCAACGCGTCACGCCGATTTCTTGGAAAAATCGTAATCCCGTTAGCTGGCGATCGGCCATCAGGGCAATCCTTCGGAATGGCATCAGCCGGCATTGCAAGCGGGCGACCTTCGGAAGCTCACATATCACGGAGCATAATGCGCAGTCGCAGAAAAATCACAAGCCGACTTTGTGGCGGAGTCCTTGACAAATTGACTGACGCACCGTATGCTTACGCATTGCGACGTTTTCATGCTGCATTGATTATTTGTCATTTTTAAGTTCATTGTGTTCAATTACTGTTTTGCCCTTTCTTTCCTGTAGAATCCTTTTGCAAATTCATATTACGTGTGCAATTGTCCAGCTCAATAATGTAAATTTTCTAAGGAAATCGTTTGGAAGGTAATTTATGCTAGAAAAAAAAATTCCGAGGCAGAAACACGCAACGCTTTCTAGCGTGACGAGCCGGTGTCCTAGATTATTTGTAGAGGGGCGTGCCTAGCCGTGGCGTGACGTCACGCGGCGACGAGAGGCGTCGCACGGCGTCGCGACGCCTGGGGCGTCGCAGAGGAAAGCGCGCACGCGGCTTCCGGCCGACGCCGCCGACGCCGACGCCGCCGACGCCGACGCCGCCGACGCCGGAGTCGCTTTCTTCGCATACGCTCAAAGACTCACGAGGTCCCTCGTTCGACCCCCGGGGGAACTCACCTCACGATGCTCGTTCTTCAGAATTTCCCGCGCCAGCGGCACCCCGGCGCGGCTCGTAAAGATGCTTTGTTTTCTTGCGCCCCGGGGTCGCGGATTCGCACAGGGAAAGTGCACGTGTTTTCCTGAAGAACGTGTGGTGTGTGTGTGTGTGAGAGAGAGAGAGAGAACGAACCGCGATGACAATTGCGCCCCTAGGCGTGGAGAAATCGCGAACATGGGAGTTTGTCGAAATCAAGCAGGGAATGTGAAGCGATAAAAAGTTACTTAACTGTTGTAAATTTCACATGTATGATGCTTGTTAAATTAGTTAACACATTAAAATAACGATTATTAAAGTTTACGATGACATTGATGCGACTTACACATGACAATTATTTTATGACTGTCATGTTACATAATGGAGAAGCTTAAGTGTAAATGTCATTGTAAAATGTAAATGTAAAAAACCTTTTGCAGAAAATTCTATGGATACTTCGAAATTTTGTGTCGTTTAATGCTACCTCAACTTGCTCTGCTTTAGTGCCTTCGAGGAAATCCCATAGTTGTTTTACGAATAAATACCATAACAAAGTTTTGCCTTGACATTTTCATCCTTCCAGAA